TTCCAGTACAGACACGTGACCGCTACGGACCGCTACGGACACACGGTGGTAGTGTTAGTATGACGATATGGACCTTTTTCCTACGGCAGCCATATSACTGAGGGCCGTAAGTTAGATAACTCACTGGGTTAATACATCACCCCCTTTAAATAAAGTTAATTGAATGATTGATTGACTGGAAATATATTTTTTTTCACCGCATAGCCTCGCATTGAAGAACTTCAGAATGAGGTTACGCGTAGTTGAACAAGGCTTTTTATTYTCACTAACATAAAGGTTCACAATGCAAACAGCTTATTGTGACTAGACTGCTAGCTTTTCCTCCTAGCCTCGACTTTTTTAGGATTCTTGTGAATGCGCAGAGGTTGTAAAAAACAACGCTTCTAAAACAGGGAAAAAACCTGACTCGATTGAGTTACGAGGGAAAAGAGAGAGCGTTCACAGGCTAATATCCACACACGATCCTAACTACTTTGGTATGCATATGCCTTAACTACTCCCTCCCCAGCGCTTTCTTAATTCGAAGAGAAAAGATAAAGTCAGCTGTGCAAAGAAAGACTACCCCTTATAATACTTTGCTTACTTATACTTCACTTACAACAGTCACCAATGAAGCAGATTTTGTACGAGTGTAACAAGCCCGTTAGAAAAGGGCTAAGAAAATGCTAAGAGATGGTTTTCTCTGCTCATCAATAGGTACTACTGACTTTGGCCGTGACCGTCACGCACTCTACCCATAATTTTTCTGACTATGGCCGTGACCATTATGCATTCTACCCGTACATAAACTTATTATACTACAATAGTTTCGAATGCTACACCACTGAATGTCCCACAATGTAAATTATAGTGAAACTATAGACTTTTCTAGCTTACACACAATCTTTTAAACGAGTGACAAGTAGGATATTCCATGGTGTGACGAGAAACCATTGTATAACTATTTTGTCCTACACGATTGAAAATATCTAGGCGGCACTGGCAGATGGGAAAAAAGGGGCGGGGAAGACCGYAAAATATATACTAGCCTTCCTGCATTCTGATTGGCTGTGCTTTGGTGTGAGATTAAATGCARTATCACTCTTAACAAATCTTCACTCTATTTAAATTAAGAAGAAAAGCAAGTAGAAATTCAATATWTCATATTTAACAAAAGGAAATTTTAAAATAAAGGATTCTTATCTTACAAAGAAAGCTACCTTGTCTCCAGACCTTAGGAACCCAATTCCTCTCGACTTYTTTTACCACAGGTAGCTCAAGACAAAAAATGCGCTACTTTAATTTAGTCCATCTGATTTAGTACGGCTCTACCYGATAAAAGTTAAGAAATAGTTGAATTTCCCGGACAGTGTTACGCGTGTAGAAATGGTATTCGAGCGTCTATGACTACCAAAAATGGCGGAAAAGTAGACTTGCTTTAACTTTTCCAATTTGATCCTTGGTCTTCATCGAATTCTATACCGTTACCTTTGTTTCTCGTCCACGACGTATTGCGTTACCTTTCTTGGTATTGCGTTACTTGAATTAAGGAATGTCTGTAGTTTTATTTCTTCTGGCGTTACGTATTGAAATTGGACGTAGTTATATGTCATCATTTATTTCTCATGTCTGGGTGCTGCTGCTAGGTGTCCCTGTAGAAAATAATGARTAAAATAAAGAAAACCTGCATAAATAGCTAAGAGTGTGAAACATCGTGAAGTTCTGGCTGGAAGGTTTTATTAATAATAATAATAATAATAGTAATAATAATAATAACAATAATAATGGGGTTCTTCTATAGCGCATTTCACAATGTCTCAATGCGCTTTACATTTATGACCAGTGGAGGACTCTACTGGCTGCGTACTTAGACGCTAGT